TAAATCAGAATTTGAAATCTATTACCTTATACTAGGTAAATACTAAATATTACTATATCCCGTAAGGGCGTAAGGCCTTAACCCAGTGGCGTATATATATTTTTGGTATTGGAAGGGGGGTCAGAAAAAAAATTTAAACCTAGATGCTTCCACATCAAAATAATAAATAGGTAGGGAACTAACAGAATATAAGTAATATACCTACTAGTATAACATTTTATTTCAAAACTACAAACAATATAAATAAGTATTAAACCATGGGCGTCATTACATATTTGAGGTATGCTTATGCTGAAGCCCTCTTAGCCCCCTCTGGGTAAGCCACTGCTCGTCTGCTCGCTTTAATACATACTTGGAAAAAGTATTTAAAATAATTTCTCAACGTATCTGCAGGGCCGGCCCCAGAGTAGGTCAACTGGGACATTTGTCTTGGGTCCCGCTAGAATTTTAGGGCCCCGCACTTACGAAATGAAAACTAGGTGGTAGCTAATAAGTAGGTAGTTGAATTGAAAACAAAAAAAATAATGCATAGAGTTTAAGTTATAATATGTTTTGGAGAGAAATAGTATTTATTATATTTCGTACAATAATGCATATTGCAGAATAATATTTATAAATAGCGTTATGGACTTATGGTAAAAAGTAGAAAGTGTAGTTTCTGTTCTCCGACGACTTAGAAGTAATGCCGACAGTGAATTTAAGCAATTATTTTTAGAAGCATAAGAAAATGCCTCTAATTTAGACTTGACTTTGACTATGTCTATACCTACACTAATAAAACACCAAACTAAGCGATATAATACATACCATCAGGCATTCTGCAGGCATCAGATTATAATACTGAAGAGTACTATAGACGTTCAATTCTTATTCCATGGGTCGATTCATTTTTTAATAGTCTTTCTGATCGATTTTTAAACCATAAAAATCTCCTTACAAGTTTTAAATGCCTTTTACCAACTGGACACAACCCAACAGATGAACAAATTTCAAGTTTTAAAAAACTTTTTGACTTATGTGAAAAAGATATGCAACAAATTAGTTTTTCTGTCGCTAAGGCCAAATTCGAATTGTGGTATGAAAAATTAAAAAACTGGCTATATTTTACCGCTAAACGCGATTGATGGTTTAAATTTATGTGATGTTAAAATATTTTAATTAGTATTTATACTTTGGAAAATATTTGCAACGTTACTATAGTAAGTACAAGTGCGGCTGACTGACTACTGAGAGATCGTTTTCCACTCTATACGGCGAATTAAAACCTATCTCCGAAACACAATGGGACACTCACGTTTAAATGGATTGTCAAATCTTCCCATACATCGAGAAATACAAATTAAAGAATCCGAAGTATTAATGGCCCCCTCCCCTTCATCCGGGCTTGGGTATAGCCGTATAGGTGCAAGGTAGTAGGTACCCCGCTGAGGAAGGGTGGTGGTGAGTTTAGAGACAGGTAAAAGTAAAATGTAATACTTTAAAATTTAAATGTTTATTTACCTATCTAAGATACGTATTAAAATATCAACTTATGAGGCACCAGAAACCTTATATTACATTTTCAAGGTTTATGACCAAACGAAAAAGTAATTTAAGGAAACAATAATGAAAAGTCCAAATGTCTTATATAGTTCAACGTATTTGATGTACAGAAAATGATAAAATAAACATTTGGTGTTAATTTAGTATCCACGATTAATCGTTTTTGTAAAAAAGAAAATCGGGTGAAATTCCTGTAGTAAAAATGTGAACATCAAAAGTTCAAATAACATAACGTAGATACAGCAACAAAATGCTAATACAAATATTTAACAAAAAATACATACTTACACCAAAAAAACGAAATCGACTTTGTCAAAAATCTGCCATTCCTTGATTTTTTAGGGTTTTAATAACAACTTGGAATGTCTCATGTTTGACCCCGTAAATTACCAACTAGATTCACCTTCTTATTAGAAAATCGAAGCAATTATATTACTGCCCCAAAAGGTGATACAATTCTTAAGTCGGAGAATATTAAATATTATTGCTTTTGAGTAAAAATAACTTACACGACAGAACTTACCAGCGTAGGAAGAAAATTATAAGTGGTTTTTTTTTTCATACAAGTATTAAGTAGAACCGCAACTGCTAATTCTTGTCCATATTTAATTTACATTTCTATACAAACACAGTTTTATGAGTTATGACCACTATACTCCTGTAAACTAATTTAAGAACCGTAGTTGGCGGCATTCTGGATTACTTCACAGCAGGCGTACCTCGTATAGATGGTTGATAAACGGGTGTTTCCTAACTGCCACCGAATATCTTAATTTGGATACAGTACAAGTTGTAATTTGGGTGTATTACACAATATTAAAATTTGTTGATTGGCACATAATAAGACTAAACACTAAAACACCAGTGGCGGCGCGAAAATGTTTACTAGATAATTATAAAACAATAGTGGTGAAAAGCACTCACGCAAGGGGGCTTTAACCCCCCCCCCCCCTATCACCTCAATTTTTTTTAAACTTGTTGTGTAATCTTACTAAAACAATAATTCGTAAACATGTATTAATAGTATTTTATTTTAATAAAATATCTATTGATGTAAACACTTATTATATACTTAAAAATCTAGTGTAAATATAATACTATATACTAATAATTGATGGCCTATCTATTTTAGATTCTGAGTGAAACGATGAATGTATTGATTTTACAATGATGTGTTTTTATATTTTTTTTTTATTTTTATTTTGTGTCTGTGTACACGATAAGTAGTCGAAATAATGCTTCGATTTTCGACTTCAGTATCTTGTTCGATTGGAAAGTGAATATCGTTGGTGCATTGGGGAGGTCAAAATTTAAAATTTACAGTACTTTTCAAAAGCGCCAAGAAAAACAAAAGAAAAATTAAGGAAAAACTGGAATTTTTACGAAAAATCGATTTTTCAGAAAATTGAATTTGGTTTTTGGTGTAACTTTAAAACAAATAACCGTAGATACATGAAATTTTCACTGGTTGTTTATATTTGCATTTTCTATACACGATAACATTTTCAAAATATTTTGATTAATTTTGAACTGTTTAGGGACATTTTCATTTTTCTTTTTTTAGAAATATCAATAAAATGTTATTTGTTGGTTAAAAAACTTGAAAATTAAATAGAAGGCTCCTAGTATATTGTTTCAAAGGCAGATGAAAAATATTAAAAATCGTTAGTCAGTTTTTTTTTTTAAGCATTTAAAGTTCAAAAATTGACAAAATATGGAAAAATCATGAAAATTAGCAAATTATTTTGAGATAAGAATTCGTAAAAATTTTTCTTTTTAAATCTAAGATTTGAAAATGTAATACAAGATTACTCATAAGTTTGTCTACCTTTATCAATAAAAAAATCTCTACCGGACAGTCAAATTAAATTTTTATGAGCGTTTGAAATTCAAATTTTTACAACATTGGATGTTCACTCGATTTCTCATGTAGCGATTTCCTTATTTTGTTGTTATTCATAAACGAATAACTATAGATACATGAAAATTTCACTGAATGTTTATATTAGCATTTCCTATACACCATACAATTTTGAAAATATTTTGACTCTTTTTGAGCTGTTTACGGATATTTTCATTTTTCAATTTTTTTTCTATGAATATTAATTAAGTTTTATCTGTTGCCTGTTGGGCTAAAAAGTGTAAAAATTTAATACAAGGCTCCTGGTATATTGTTACAATATCAGTTGAAAAATATTAAAAATACATAGGCACAATATAGACAGAATTTTTCAAAATCTCGAAAATTATTAATCATCGTAATTAATAAATTATAAAATGTTCAGTTTTTATAGCTAAGGATTGAAAATTTAAAACAAGATTCCACGTAAGTAGTTCTCTAACCGAAAAATTTAAAAAATATACAATCACAGTCTATTTTTATAGTCATTTTATGTCCAAATTTGGACGAAATTACATATTAAAAAACCTAGTTATTTTGTTGTGATTATATAATATTATTCGTGGGTACCTACTTGAAACTTCTAAAGTGTACTATTATATATCTATGATAGTATCAGGGTTAGTTATTGATGTTGATGTATAACGTGTTATAAGTACCTAATGGATATTGTGATAATGTGATATGATTAATTTGGAATTTATTATAGGTCAATTTTTTTTTTTATACCATAGATATGTATATAATTTGTCTTAAACCTAGACTGACATACCGTCTTCGCTCAGAATCGTTTTTCTTATACAATGATATTGTATCATTGAATTCAAATTTAATAGCATCCATTATACAGTGACCCACTTGTAACCTACTGTACAGCAGAGCGACATACACTTACCCACCTTTTTTACATTTCTTTTTTCATAACTTCCTCAATGAAGAAATCCTGCGTATGAACCTGAGTGGCGATGCGTATTTCCTAACCCAAAACCCAGAAATTCATCAGGCATTAATTGTAGTATAATTGAGTATAACCATTACAAAACATCACTACAAATATTTATAACAGACGAAAAAAATTGTTTTAAAACCAATTAAAATATACAACTCAGGCAATGAGCATTCTTTTTTAAAAAGTATTCACTAATTACTTATTATTCTTGTATTCACACTGGTAAACACATGTTACCTATGAGGCTTAAATGCATAGACATCATACATTTAGACCCAATATTTTTATATTCTAATAAATATTGAAATAATTTTGAATAGCCGATTACGATTTGTGTTTAATTTACATTTTGGTGCAGGCCCAAGACATTTTAAGGTGGGCCCTGAAGCCACCACTGCTAATCACTCATACAACACAATATAATATATTTATAACAATTATACATTTCCTTAACAAAATGGTAAATGTACCAACCATATAAAATCTTACTTTACTGAATATAGTATATTGAAATAGCCTAACTCTTAAATAAAATAATAAACACAAAAACAATATTTACAAAGTCATTTGTATATTTTTAATGGTCTTTCAATTTAACAGAAAACATGATTAACTTTGTCTAGTTCTGGGCTTAGCTTGAGTTCCTTCACGGAAACCGTTCCTGAAAAAGTAAAAAAAATAATAATTTAAATACATTTAAGAGTTTGAATTGTACTTATTATTCATATTAAGTTGGTGCTCAGAGAGGGCAAGTAATACCCATTTTAAATTCAGTCGTATTAGCGTATATTAATAAAATTTAACATCATCGCACAGATCTTTATACTAACATTGTTTTGAATATTATATTATACTTTTGTTATCAGTTGATTACATAGGTACACCAATATATAACATACAAATAAATTATGATACATTAATAACACATTTAAACTTAATACAATAATTTATTAAAAAAATCATTTTTAAGTTTGAAATTTAAAAGCACAGCAAACATTTTTTTTTAAAACCATTTAAATCGCATAATTGCATAATTTAATTTCTATTAAAAATAAAATTTCGAGTAGTTTGCTTGTAAAATAAATTCAATTGGAAAATTCTTAAGTTAAGTAAGTAAGAGTTAATAAAAAATCATCTAAAATACTAGAACATGTTGTGCTCAGAGAGGGCAAGCAATACCCATTTTAAATTCAGTCGTATTAGCGTATATTAATAAAATTTAACATCATCGCACAAATTTATATATCATTGTTATGAATGTTACATACATTATATTATTAACTGTCAGTAAAGACTAGAGAGAAGTGATGTACAAAATATGACTTACAAATGCATTAGAACTTAATTGATGTCATAAATAATGTACCTTAAATCAACTACAATATAATTTATTGCATTTAGAAAATCATAACACCAAGTTTGAAATCATAAAGCACAATAAAAAAATTATTTTAATGACAATATTTCTATTTAAAAATAAAAATAAAATATAGCCAAGTTAGCTTGAAAAATAAAAGCATCTTAAATCAACCAATTGGCCAATGCTTGGATTTAAAGAAGTACTGTACCATACAAAATAATAGTAAATGTTTCGTTATAATTTAATTCCATATGAAAATAATATTGTTTCAAGAACATCAATTCGGTTGTTTGGTACAGTTTGTTCAATTACAGGGATATGCAAGAGACAACACTGAAACCACTTTCAGAAAGTAGATGGAAATATTAATACATTTTAATGAAATAGCTGATAATAACAAAATATCAAATAGAAAAAGTATAATTTACTAAATGTGAATGACATTTTGAAGGAACTACCACAATTTCAATGGTTAGTCAATTAAAATTTTTAAATTTAATCATCAGCATGAATAGCTCAAATTTTAAAAACGCATGTGGTATTATGTTATGTAAACATGCATATATAGACAATACTAATGTACATTATTATAATGGATTAATATTTAATGGTAATCAAAAAGTAATACTCAGAGAGGGCAAGTACTACCCATTTTAAATACAGTCGTATTAGCGTATATTAATTAAGATTTACATCATCGCAAAACTTTTACACATTTATTGAATATTTTCCAAATTGTATAACTAATAATACCTACATCATTACAATACTCAGTGAGGGCAAGAAGTACCCATGTTATAAATAGTCGTATTAGCGTATATTATTGATTTTTCTTCGTCATATGCATGTAATGATTTGATTAGTAAACGGTTTTATTAATAAAAACTGTGTGTATCTTTGAAGTGATACTAATAAAATTAGAAAACATTCGAGACAAGACTCACCTGAATTTCCTGCGAACAATCTTCAGATGTCTGAGTCGGCCAGTTCCGGTGGTCTTCCTACGTTGAGCTTTGACGCTCCAATTGTCTGAAAAAAAATTAATGCAACATTAACGAAATAACCAGAGTAGGAGTGTGATGACGAGATCGCCGCCTGTTCAGTGTACTTACAATGACGGAGCTTCTTGCTCGGGTATCCACACTGGGCGCACTTGGACTTTTGTATGTGATACGATGACCGTCCACAACGACGACACAGAGTGTGCGTCTTATTGTGACGTTTACCAAAACTCGAAGTACCTTTCGTCTAGAAACACAACAAAATTATTGACTACTGATCTGCGGAACCCGGTTTCGAAATCCGACGATCGCAATCGGCGAGCCGTCTGCCGAACGCCAGAAGAACGGGCTAAAATTCAACGCAAAGGATCGCTCGAATAAAAGCGGATGCAAATATAATAAAAATTTCGACTTACCATTATTCCGAGGACGTGATCCCAAAATGACAACAACAACCAACCACTACAACTGGTCGGGCAAATGGACGAGTTAACCTAAAATACGATTTGGTGGGAGGTCTCAGATAAACCGTAAACCCATCGACTGAGTAATACAGTGTGACCGGTCGTTGGATGACAAATTTACCGAGTGTATAAGTTCCTTGAAAAACAACGCACAGGTGTTCTATGGTGTGAGTGTCCTTGGATAATGGATATCTAACAATCGTGAATCGGAACAACCGTTAAAATTAATACTTTTGAGTTTTTACAAAATGTAGTATATACTATAATACTATATTGTACAACGGTCAACGTCAACGACATTTGATACTTATTCATTTAACCTAATGTACTTACTACTTTGTTTAAAAATTATTCCGAATTTCAAAATTGTATTTTTATTCATTTGTTAATTGTGCACTTGTTCGTTGTTAATTGTTATTGTTGCTGTCAATTTATCATAGTTATTAGTTATGTCTTTCGAGTTTTGTTGAAGTGTACAATATATGTAGTTAATAATATCGACAACCTGTTTTTAGTGTAATTATGGCAATTTGCGAAGAAGTAGAATACATGGACGTGTCGTTAAATTCGGAAAAAAATGAAACAACATCATTTGGCAAAAAATTTCATGTTAACCGCACTCCAACTCCTTTAAAACCGTCACGTCACTGGTGCATGTCTACAGAACTCTTGCGTTCGCAATACAAAACTAACAACGTCCGCAAAACAAAAGTTTATAATCCTTTTAATGACAACTTAATGCAACGATTAGGTGAGACAACAATCAGCCCTACGGTATTTGCTAATGCAAAAAGTCCAGGGCAAGAAGTAGAGTTTGGATGGAATATTGACGATGTCTCCAAACTTTACCCAGTGCACATAGAAGATGAACACATAGTCGACGACGATCAAGTTGATGATGAAACAGAATCCAAGTTACAAGAGACTATAGACAAGTAATCAATAATCCATTTGATATGTAGCTATAAGCTTAGCCAATAATTATATACCTTTCATTATTCATTATTTATATAGGTATTTTTATACAACACATAAAGTTCCTAGCCCTTGGAATAATCAAGTTATTGATTGGGAAGCTCATAAAAATTCATCGTCTACACCCATATCAAATAAACAAAACCAAAAATCTATATCATATACCCGTGAAGGTACTTTTGTTTAACTTGACTAAAATTAACCTAAAATCATTAAACATCTTATTTTAAATATTTTTCAGTTTCAACACAAACAAATTTAAGTTTTCCTTCCATATTACCTGATCATGTTGAAGAAATACTAAAACCTTACTTCTTGAATTCAGTAAAATACTTTTTCCTTGTGTACCTACCTACTTAATACATAATTTTTTAATATCTTTTTTCCCAATTTTGTTAGACTCAAAATTTTGAAGAAGAAATAAGTCCTACAAAAGATAACTCAAATTTACGTCGCAAATTATTTTTTATGAATGATAATGATGACCCAATTTCTCCAGTAGAGATGTAAGTAAATGTATTCAACAAAAGCAAATTATTTGTACACTTAATTTTTTTATTTATTTATTACAGACGCAGAAATAGAAAACAGTCATTTAGTCCATTAACAAAGTGTTTTAACAAAACCATTAATTCAAAAGGTCCAGTTCTTGGAAATCATTTAGGTGTACAAGAACTACCTATAGACTGTCACATTCCTATTGATGTATCTCCGATAATAAATAAAAACGATAGAGAAAATACTCCACCCAATAATAAAAGTAAGAAATTTAAACTATGTTTTCACATTTTGTTTTTAACAAATGTAGTATATTTTAAAATATTTTATGTCTTACATAATTCTGATGTTAATCGTAAATGACTGTAAATTATAAAAATTCCCTTTACACATAAGGTTAATATGTTCTTATCTTATATTGGCCGCATTGTGAATATTACTATATTCTGTCCAGTGAGAGAAGGCACACCGACCAAAATTGGTTACCCCCACGCCACACCCTGCCATTGGCGAACCGGTTTCTATTACATGGTGACGAGGGGGCATGCACAGAATCATCCCATTCACACCGAGTATATGTGTTTTATGTTTTATAATGATTGAAGATAGAATTGTTGCCCGACGGATTATGTCATAAGCTCTAACATATTTTATGAATTGCGATTACTTTATAAATATTCCACTGCTCGATCTATGAACGTTACAGAATTGTTTAATCAGTTTGTCATGAGTAGTTATGAATACAACAATTCCATGCTCGTTGGACAACAATTATATCTTTAATCGGGGTTTTTATCCAAAATAGTTTTTCATTTTATGGTAAATACAACAATAAATTAATAATATATTGATGGAAACCAATATACTTTACCTGTGTCCTATAATTATTCCTCAATATTTATAACACACTAACGTTTACAATTTTTATAAATAAGTGCCAGTAGAGTAATGTTGAGTACTTTAAATTATAGTTGCCAGAAATTCTGGTTTGACAAACATTTTTAAACAAGACCAAATGTTAAATAGTATAGTTCGAATTTTTTTCAGAAAACATTAGAAGTTGGTTCGGTTGAGATTCAAACAAATTGACCTATAACTAATAATTATATTTGTTACCAAATTATTGTGTACTCTTTTAAAAATATGACCAATGCTTTCAATTAAATATCAATTAATCCTATGACTTGTTAAATGTTGCAAAATTTAAATAATTACAATTTTTAACTGTACCTCATCCAATTAAAAGAATAATAATAATCAAGGCTTTGCACCCAAATGATTTGGGTTTAGGATTTTGGGTGCTACATGCCTGCATGTATTCCGTTGTCCGAACACCAAAATAAAAAATTTAAACATACATTTTGGTGTTAATTAATGTTATTATTTGTGTTAATATTGGTTAATACTACAGGTGTATAGTAGTTCTGAAAAACAAAATTTTTTAGTTATTTTTAATTTTCAGATATTTTGTTAAAATTTTTAATTGTTTAGCCATATGTCCTAACAAATAATTAACTACAAACTCAAACTAACCACATAAAATATATATCACATGAAAATTGTAAAATAAAAAAAAATTCTGGTTTCGAGTTAACCTGAATGTTTTATTTGGGTTTTGGTTAACTCGAGTGTTTTGAAAATAGAATTATTCAGGTTATATGCATTTTGGGTGTTTGATTTTTTAAGAGTTTTTATGAAAGTTACAGTTTCTGGTTAATTCCGATGCAAGGCCCTGATAATAATCATTCACTAGGTCTGCTAAAATATGTACAAGATTTTGTTTATCAAAAATCTAAACTGATGAAAATAGTTATTATTTACATAATTTTTTAATTAGTATACCCCAGTGCCATGATATTAAGGAAATTCGATACCTGATTTCTATTTTTGTCTAGCACATGAGCGACATAGAATTTTAGACAGGTTCTTTGCCAAACATACCAATTGATCTCCAAATGAAGCGATAATAATTCTGAAAACAGATTTGAACTTTTCATCAAATCTACTTGTAATCAACTTTCCCGCAATTTTGTTTTTTTATTTTAACATTTACAAAAACTGAAATAAGACAATTTTTAAATACTGTTTTAATATGACGTTTTTAGGAGTTTGCTAAAAATAATATCAAACATTTGGGAAAGTCGATTTCAAGTAGACTTGACGTCGAATTCAAATCTGTTTTCAGAATTCTTATCGCTTGATTAGATAAATTGGTATGTTTGGCAAAAAACATGTCTACAATACTATGCCATGCTTGTGTTAGACGAAGACAGAAAATCACCGGGTAGAATCTCCTTAATAAAGTCACATATTAAATCCTTTTGTGCGTGTGCACATACCATCTGCATTTGTGCAATTTATAAATTAAACCATGTATGACTATGTGAAAAGATCCAAGGGAATGTACAGTGAAACTTCCATATAACAACATTTTTAAATCAAATTAGAACTAAATGAATTCAGTTCTATGTAACGAAAATCTATACTACAAAGTTAAGTTACCCGTGAGACTTCGTAATATGGAAGTTTTACTATTTTTAATAATAGTTAATACATTTATTAATTATTATTATTACATAATTAGATTAAATTTAAAGATTTTAATAAAAAACCTTAACTATTGTTAACTATCTACAAATATGACTGTATTAAATATAATCAGTTATTATTATATTTTTTTTCCTATATAGATAAAGATTTTATTTTTTTGACTCCGGTATCAACAATGTCAATGCCAAAACGACGACGCACTGAGAAGAGTAGTTTGATGATGGAAAGTAGCTCAGATACTGGTTACCAAACTATGACTATGAGCATTAAGGAAATGTCTAGTATGGCACCATTTGGACATAGTTCCAAAAATACAATGTTTACTGCATCTACACCCACAGAACGATGATTCTGAATATGGTATACATTTTTTTTTATCGCTTTTAAACATTAACTACAGGTACATTTTTACATTTTTGTAATCAGGAGGAGCTAATTAATATCAAAATTATTAGTTTGATTAAATACCTATCCTCTAGTGATAAACATAACTGTGGTGATTTTAGTAACCATTTAAACAAAATTGTAAACATGTATTTTTTATATAATTTAAACAAGTTTACAAAAAACCGCGCTATTATAGTCAATTGATTTACCAAGTTTTACATAGAACAAAAATTATATTTGTCATATATTTAACATAAATTAAATACTATTTAATTGTACTATATGTTACTTTGCAAATGTTTTCATTTTTCTTCATGTGATACTGTAGGTATGAAATGTTATCAATTGTTAGAACCGAACATAATATACTTCACTAGTTATTTATAATGCAATTAGTGTAATTTTTATATTAAAACAAATTTTTTTATTTTAAGAAATAAACGTTTTTAATTCATATATTATACTATGTTTATAATGGCATTAAACAATAAAATATATTTATATTATAGTTTGGTATAGTGAATAACTTAAAAGACATGGAATGATTATGTTTCAAAAATATAATGAGTGGTAATAAAACAACAAAATAATATATATTATACTTCCTAGTTACATTGAAATTTTTACATTGGACCAATAATAATCTGGGGATAATATTTAATCAATTTTATCACAAAATAAGAAAATATACCTTGTATATGTTTTATTTTTGTGGTTCACTAAAAGAATAAGCTCAGTATTTTATTCCGACGCCATGCGTTTGAAGACTAAATCCCAAGACGCAGCACACTGCAACACAATTAATCAGTAAAAATAAAGGTACGTCAAGGTTTACACTAATACTCACATGTTGATAATACTGTATATGGCTTTCAGCTAAGGCAGTTAGCATACTTTTGAAGTCTGCTTTTTTTTGGCACTTCCATAACCCATACTCTTGCCTGAACACATCGCTACAGACATCCAACCGTTCTTGATTAGCTTCGACAGCTGACACTAGTTTTGGGATAACTTGACTCATCTTTTCTATTTTTTCCTCTTTATCCATTTCTGATTTCGTCCAGAATGACATTAATGACTTTTCATCGTTAGTTACCTAATATATAGTCTAGAGTTACAATCCATTACTAAAATATATTAAGACAATATACCTTATCTTTGTCAGCCTTTTTCTTCTCCAAATCCATAAGAGACTGTTCATACTGTATTTGCAGTGCATCTCTTTTACCTAGTGTTTCTCTGACACATTCTATATAGCTAACATAATCCTTCAGTGGCTATCAAAACAAATAATTAGAAATATTGTAAACTAATATTTTTGTTTTATTTATTTACCTGTGCCCAGTCACTTATAAAATTAGATATTAAATTATGACGTAAAGCCGAACTATTGGCAGTGATAGTATGGCCAATGCGGGATAGTGCAACAGAGACAGATTGTTCATTAGAAGACCATTCAATAAATGCTGCTCCAAGTTGGTGAGATTCCACACACAGTTCTAAAAACAAGAAAAATATTTTAAAATATTTTTAATTATATATTTATAACACAAAACAAACCTTTTCTTTCTTTGTGGATTCTCTGAGCTACTTTTTCTAACATGGCTAACTTCTCAGATAGGCCATGGAGATGATTTCTAATGGGATCAAACTCAAAATCTACCTGCCTTGAATTATATGACACAGAAATGGTATTTAAGCTGTTTGACATACGTCTTAGTAGTCCTGTTCCACGTTTTTTATATGTAGTGAACTCCTAAAATTAAAATGATAAAATAAATTATGTCAACTGTTTTAAATTTAGTTCATAGCACTGAATCCGATAAGTTTTTTTTAGATCATTATTATATAGAGTACATACTGTAGCATTCGCAGTCAAAAAAACTCTGAGATGTTTATCTTCTGTGAGAATAGGATGGCAAACTAAACGTGACAGAAACCGCTCCAACAATGCCATACGGCAAGTGACAAATTCTTTTGAATACCTGTCTAACTGACCAAGAATTGTGTGTTTTGCTGGTAAAGGCTATTGTAAATGAAAACAATGTTAAAACAAATAACCAAAGTTTCTGAAAAAAACAAAACACTCACGGGCACTATTCGATCAGGATATTCAACAGCAATGTTTTGTCTCAGCCACACAAAATCATTGTAACGCCGGCGAATAACATATTCCTTGTGTGGATAATCTGTTCTATCCGCCTAAAACAAACTAGGTCAAATACTTCAAACCAATGTGAGAGTAGCTAACTTTACCTTTGTAGATACTCTATATGTGATGTAAGTCTCCAACGGTTCAACAATCTTTTGTGGATTGTCAACCCGTACTTGAATGTCACGTCGAAAGTCCAACTTGAGTTGAAAGTCATTGGTGTTTGTTGGAAATGACACTAACTGAAAATCGTAGTTTAAAGTTAATAACTATCAGGACATGATATAAGAAGTATTTAGATTTAAAATATATTTACCGTAGATGCATCGTTTAGAAGGGTCTGAGGCGTTGGAGTAACGCCTTTTTCTTCGACAGACACTTCAAGTACCGCCGAATTCTGGTCAGTCATCATTTCATCAGGTTCAGAACTATCGGACAACTGAAATTCGTGTTTTTATTTACAATCATCGTTCGTTTTAATGGAGAATATATAATAATAACAATAAATAAAACGTTTAGCGTTCCCGAGGCCAGAGTAAGTATATTTCAAAAAAACCGTCCGACTTTACATGTTTTATCATTATCATTTTGACATTTTCCCAAGTATTTACATGCAATTTAAACATAACCTTGAAAGTGTTATTAACGTGACATTATCAATCCTTTAATTATTGATAACTCTCAACCCCCACTTGTAAGCTACTCGCGGGACGGAGATTTGGTATACCGAAATGACCACGAATTAAGATATTATACTCAATAAAGTATCTAAAATTCTAAAGTGTAATATTATCTTATTCCGTGGAAAGAACTATAAATAATAAAATAACTATAACTATATTATGGGAACCGTACGTCGAAAAAACAAATAAAATTAAAAATAATAAATACCTAGGTATTATTAATTATAATCTAAAAAACTGTACATCCATTACTCGAAAAAATCAACAATGACACATATTATTATCACGGATCGTGTTGGTATTTATTTTGCTTTTTTCGCAATAATTATTGTCTTGGTAAGTGCTTAGGCGTAGTACGAGGGCGCTCTTGTGCTTGTGTATAATAATTGTACTTCTGCTGTGTGCCCAGTGTGTATATTAGATTTAACAACTCTAAGTAAACAAATATTATACATTTGTCATTTATACTAATTAAAAAATAAAAATGTAAGATAAAACATTGTTCGATGATTATATCGCAACCGAAATAAGTAATAGCGCGTCGAAACTAGCTATAGCTATTATAGTCGTCACCGCAGCTGTAATAATATTGTCTCTAATGATAATGACGTATTGTCGTATTACGATAGTTATTATTATTATAGTATTTAAAAACAAAATCGGTCATCGCAATTCATCATTCATCGGCAATAAAATATTATAAATAGTAATTATATTTAAAATTGTTTGATCAATGGTGAATGATGATAATATTAAAGATGAATTCCAGAAGTATTGAAAGTTTAAAGTTTAAACATCAGCTGTATCTGCGGACGAACCGTTAACGATTTCATTACCGCAATAATTGCCAATTAGGAAGTGCTTACACGATTTCGGTACAATTTACTGATAACAATATATTATATTATAGGTACTTTTTTTTCAAATATATATTGCAATTTATTATATAGCACGACTTTTTATTTATAAGTTGATTTTATTATTTTTTTATTATTATTAGTTATTATTTATAACAATTTCATCTTGGACGAGTTAACTTATATACAGTGTTATAACGAATACGATTTAGTTATATGCGTTTTAGAAATAGATGGATTTGTTTCAAACAAATGTATAAATTCACCTCAATGATTTTATTAATATATTTCTTTATATGATACAAGAAATATGTGGATTATAACAATGGGCGTTGCCCCCCCCCCCCCAGTGTTTTATAAGATAACTGTATATTTTACCATTGATTTCTGATTCTAACTGTGCGTTTATAACTTCCAATGTATAGATTATAGGCATGGGCGTAACTACTGTCGACTAACTTGAATTTCGATGATATACTGCAGGGTCTGTACTTCTATAGGTTTTGTACACCGATGTACCGAGTTGGGGTACCCTGCAAGCACTGCTACATACGAATTAGAATTCCAAAGTTATTCTGTATTATGCACAAAGAACAACCATACAAAATTGATTACACCCTCACAAACACGAGAAAAAAAATATGCTAAATATGTGCGCAATGTGATAGTTACTATACTTATCAAGTCTTATAATGTTTGTGATGAAAATTGATAGTAATTAATTCGCCCGGTGCCAATGTAATTTTGTCCACAAAAATACGCTCTACAGGAATAATGTTCTGTTGAATCAACCAAATTTGATAGTAATTTTTTTTAACTAATAGAGGGTAATATTAGGTCGCATTTAACTTCGTTTTTCAATATTTTAATCTCAAACTTTATAATATGTCTTCAAAAATTTTAAGGTTTTTTATGAATTATATTATACAATAATTCAAGGCTGGGCAAGTTAATGATTTTTTTTAACACAGTTAAGGTTAGGTAATATGCAACAATGACAAAAAGTTAAAAGTTGATTTAACTATTGGTTAACTCAGTTAAGTTAAAAGTTAATACACACTTTTACTAACTTTTATTAAGTTAAAAAAAGTTAATTTGTTTATACAACGCTAGTGTACTTAATTTTTTTATTTTTTCCAACCCAAAACTAAATTATAGACTATAGTGTTCTAACTTTATACAGTATTTCCATATAAATTAAATTCGAATGATATAAATTTTCAACTTTAAACAATTTATGGTAAACAATTTTTGACATGAAAACGAAATACACTGAAACAGTGTCGGACTGGCTCGAAAAGGCCCAGTCCGCGATTTGGAAAAAAGGGCACCCAACAGGCAAATGGCAAATGTTTTAATTAGCCCAAAAAAAAACTCGCTTCGCTCGCAATACAATTTTCATGTACTTACATAGTCACATAGAACATTTTTTTTCAATACAATTGCCAACTTCCATATTTATCATACAGCCATATAGCCATACATATAACTAAATACGTAGGTACCTAACTGAAATTCAATCTTTTGATATATTAACTGGTTTTACTATATTTTCAATATAGAAATTATATTGAGCATATTCTTAAATGCTAAGACATTTTCTGCAGGTCCTAAGTAAATTGACGACAAGAGACCCATCAGACTGTTTTTATTATCAGACTGGGGAAATCCCTCCTATCCAACCCACAAATTACGCCACTGGGGCGTAGCCCCTATACTGGCTACATCACGTTCTGTGACATCAAATAAAGAAAAACACCGGTTCAAATTGTGCACGAGTACAATAATTATCCAAAATATATTAATTCAGTTAAAATCAGTTATAATGCGAAATAATACCAAGTCATACGCATACGTCCGTATAAAAATAGTATTATAATATTGTTTAAGAAGATGTCAGAGCACTATTTGTTTTCTCTGTCTGGCCCACGCACAACACAGACAAAACGCATTACTCAGAATCTTTTTTTCTATGTTTTTAAGTAATCTTAGAGTAAAATCACCTATTACAAAAAAGATAGAGAATAATATTTTCGAGGGAATGACTTATCGATTTGTCTAAATATTGTTTCAAAACAATTTAAACATAATTTAAATTTGCAAAATTTTTTTGTTTATTTTGAAAGTAGAATACAAAGTCAAATAACAATAAAATACAAAATCGATATGTCATTCCCTCAAAAATATTATTCTCTATCTTTTTTGTAATGGAAGATTTTACTCTAAGATAACGTAAAATCATAGAAAAAATGATTCTGCGTTAATGCTTTTTGTATATGTTGCTCGTGGGCCAGAGAGAGAAAACAAATAGTGCACTGACATCCTCTTAATAGTCACAACAATTTTACACTATTTAAAATCAATGATACATATTGTATATAGACACTAGATAGCTATTAAATTCTTAGAATGATAATGATAATGTCATTATTTAATTTTTTTTTTCCTTTCATATTTCATTATTTTAATATTTTTTGAGAACGTCTCAAGATTGTAAACAAAAATACGTTTCTTGATTTGAAAAAAAAATGTTTATTTCGTATTTCTATTTACTCTAAATGAATAATAATAATATTAATAGGTACAAAATCAGGGGCCCCCAATTACCATAATTAAGCCAGGGCCCCGTCCGCAATTGCGGACTAGCGGCCCGGGCCAGTCCGACCCTGCACTGAAATAGTAAAATATAATAAAATTAAAAACAAAATAAATTAACTTAACTTACTTCTTAAAATTAAAAAGAGGATAAAAAAAAATAAAAGGTCTTAAATTAAATATTTAGATATTTATGTAGGTAGGTACTATTTATTATTATGTACCTACCTACTTCGTATTAATTTTTTTTTAAATAATCTATAAATAATACTAAATAAAAGTATTTTTGTTTTAGGCAGTCGACCTATTACCACTGATTAGTGACTAAAGGCGGGTTCACACTACACCGTGTCGTGTAATATAATCACGGTTACCTAAGTTACCAAACGATACCGCATAGTTGAATATATTCAACTTTTGACCGTGTGGTTACATTAAGTATGAACCCGGCTTTATCTGCACATAAATGTAACCACACGGTCAAAAGTTGAATATATTCAACTATGCGGTATCGTTTGGTAACTGAGGTAACCGTGATTATATTACACGACACGGTGTAGTGTGAACCCGCCTTAAGACATATTTAATTCGTTTCAATACAAGGACTTAGGACCGGTTGAATAAATGTTTTATAACTCAGACTAGGTCAACGTTTTCGGAAAAAATCAAAACTATTAGGCTTTTGTAAAACAAGTTAAACAACCATCAATTTATTGAAAATACTTAAACAATTTACAATTTATTTTTATTAAATTGTGTAGGTTTTTTTTCAATTGTATCTATATATAGTATTCAGTATTTAACAATTACTCATTAAAATCTAATGTATTTTGTATTTTAACTAAATATTTTTAAGACAATTTTTGAAAGTATTTCACCAATTCCTGACTTACACCTTTTTGTTATTGTTTATTTTGTACAATGCACGAGCGTGTATAAAAATATCCATCGATATTTCTTGAAAACAATTTCACATTTCACTCGCTTCACGTTTATTGGCTCTGTACAAACTATATTATAATACTACAAGCTGAACCCGTGCACTTCGTTGCCCCTTAAATGTACCAATTCTATATATGACTCAAACTTTGTTCAATTCGTTATTTAATATTCGGTGTATTAATCTTAACTTTTCCGTTGCTCGGAATAAAAATTCTGATTCGCAGCAGTATATTATCAGGTAGGCAATCTACCTGTGGTAGATCGCGGACCCCTAGTTTGTACGTAAGTGTATGATTTAACCCTAAAGTATCAAAGTTATATCAAGTTTGTCGTAT